ATCGTTTCTACAACTGATGTCCGATCCATTTTTTTGCTAAGTGGATTCGCCACAACAACAGCCTGCATGGCTAGGTGCTTGATCTTATACAGATAGTGCAATGCAACTGCAAGAAAACAGAATTCAAACTGTTTATCACTATTACCAATTTGAGTTTTATTAAACACGAGGAAACCTTATTTAACCTGAAAGTGAAACTCTTGAGGTAAAGAATGTCTTTTTCTGGCTGACACGGGCACCATTAACCTGGCAGGTTTTTCAGTCTCAGGCAAAACCTGAAAGGCAAAATGCTTTGGGAGGAGAAACTCCGCACTAAAGGGCCCTACCCTGTTCTGTACCCTGGACCTTCTTGTTGCAGGGCAACAGTGCTAACCATTGATCTAAAATGTGATTTAAAATGTAAAAAAACTAGTGCATGGTGAATGTGGGTACGTTAGTATGCACAGCACATTTCTGAGAATGCATTTTACAAATCTTTAACACAAGTGGCAGAACAGGCTAGCTGTACATCTCAAGGTATGCATTTAGAGCAAACCTGATTTTCCAGCTCTGTGCAGGAACAGAACCTTCAACCTTCTAGAACGTAATAGTCAAAACGAAACTTTCTTTTTTAGCCATTTACACTCGGCAGTACATACGTCTGTTCTTCCAAATGCATTCATGGAAAGGTGGAGGCAAGGTAATAAGCAGCAAGACCCCAGCACAGAACAGAGCTGGCATCAGCGCCAGTGAACATGACATGGATTCAGTTAAATACAGTATAAGAAGAGGAACTGGGATAGAGGTGAGCTGCAAACCAGTTCTTATAGGAAGCAGTTACTATATGCGGGCTAACGCACCTTCAGTGAAACCTCGTACCCTAGATGAGGTTTATCAGTTGCATGTGTAGAACAGTATCAGCTGGGCCATCAGCTGATTCCATGCTGGAGTCTATGTATTCTACTCTTCATTTGACACGCAAAGCTTTATTTAAGTGACTATAAGAAGTTGTGGGTTTGTTGGGCATATAAAGCAAACAGTTTTTTCCCTTCATTAAGTGTAACACCAGATAACGCGACTCTGAAGCTGAATTTAATTCTCTTGTTATGAATTACTGTCACGGCCTCGGTCACAGACTCTCCTTTGTTCTCCTGTTGATTGACATTTAAACCATTCAACCACTTTTTCTCTGCTGACATTAAATCCTCCAGCTTCCGTCCCAAAGTGCTTTGTAGTATAACTCCTTGAGGCGCACGAAACATACAAGCTTTAAATAATTCAAGCGAAATGGTAAAAAGCAAGTTCCACTCGCCTGACAAACTGGAAACACCAGGGCGTTAAATATTAAAAGCCTTTTCCATACATTGCATGACACCTCCTGTCTATTCTTGACAGTCTGAGCTCAGAAGCCGGAGCGTCACTCAGGAGTTCATTTTAGGGGAAAATGAGTTCATTCAGGAGATTCAATACTGCTAACTTCTTAAAAGAAATTGAGATTTCGGTGTGTTTGTCTTACACAATTCAATATTCCTTTAATATTTGACAGAAAAATGGACTCTTATTCCCTTTGGCACTGGTTCATATACAGTATATCTAACTGTGTCAGGGAGTGTTTGCTGGGCTCACTGTTACTCAATAGGACATTGTTTTACGATCGTGCTCCCTCACCTGCTTTGGTTAAAGGTGTGTATCTTGACCCGGTGGTGTGTGTACTTCTGCAGGATTTTCTTTGTGTCTTCGTCTGTGTTGAAAGAGTTCATGAGGACCAGGGGGACGTCTGTGTTGTAAGTCTTGTTCAGGTGCTGTAGGGTGAAAAAACAAAGTGTATAAATGCATTTATCCATATTTATCCAATAAAGAAAAAAGAGAAGTAGGCAGTAGACGGTCATCAAGAGTTTCTTAACAGTGTAAGGGCTCAACAGTGTTATAATCAGAGATGATGCTAACTGTCAAGGACCATTTCACATAGTAAATATTCCTTTTAATTCAGGAAAATTGGTGGAAATTAACAAATATTTTTTGGATATTTGGAAAAAATATTTGGAAAACCGGCTGACTGGAGAGCTAATAATGGGTCTGAAGGAGGACTTTTGTGAAGGCAATGAAACACTCAAAGCATGTTTGCAGAAATTGATGGTCAGGTTGGGCCGTTTACCTCATCAACAACCAAACTTTTTAAAAAAGGAAACAACAGACAAATAAATGAAAATCTCTATGCCACACTTCCGCATTCCATCCATTTATGTAAAGTATCCATCAAAACATGCAAACCGGGAGCCACATTTGGTGAGTCTGCCTTGTAATGAGTGACACTGTTAGACACTTCTGCCACTGCCTTTTAAAGGCACGGTGAGCGTGCACTTGCTGGTACAACCCTCTCTTAGATGCTGTAGATCAGGGGTGCCCAATCCCGGTCCTCGAGAGCTACCGTCCTGCAGCTTTTAGATGCATCCTTGTTCCCACACACCCGAATTGAATGAATGGCTTTTTATCAGGCCTTTGCCAAACATGACGGCATGCTGAAGAGATCAAACCATTCGATTCAGCTGTGTTGGAGTAGGGATGCATCTAAAAGCTGCAGGATAGTGGCTCTCGAGGACTGGGATTGGGCAGCCCTGCTGTAGATGCTTCAGTAGCGACATGAGAGTTAACACAGTTTGACACAAAACTTTATGATCAATCTTTGCACATGTTTGAGGTTCTGATGCATTTGTAAGTTGTCAGAACAGGGGTCACACCAAATGTGAGACAACACCTGGAAGTGGTCAAGAGGTGCACAGAGCAACAGGCTTAAAGGAAAGATCAGCTGATCTTAAAACAGCTTTTCTCTGTGTTTTTAAGTCTGGATTTGAGGAAAGCACTTTGTATTCAAATTACTTTGAATTTAACTGCATATAAAACTTTTTCGCCACTGTGTTTAAATAGATCTTCAAGTGTCCTTGTGACATTTGGAATTTGACAATTCAACATTGCAAAAACATTTGAATTTTCAGATCATCACAAGACAAAAGGAAAACTGGCCCACACACCTGAGTTTTCAACCAATAACTCTGTACCTTGACTGTGCGATTTGAATGAATACAAAGGATGTAAATTACACCTGAGTAGAATGGGAAGCAGTTTCTTTATTTCGATAACAGAAAATTAAAATGAGTAGAGGAGGCGGAGGATGAGACGCGTGCTGTGAATGAGTGGGGCTAAGATGATGTGAGGAATCAAATTTACTGCCTGTGACAGTTACAACGAATGAGTGGGCTTTTCTAAGCTAAAGTATGAACGTCATATTTCCATTTATTAACCAGGATGGGTGTTGGCTGGTCATGAACTTTACACAGCTCTTTTAATTTAACGTTTTCTTTATATGCAGTGGTTTATGCAAAGGTTAAATTACATCCTGGTTTTTATCAACACTGTCTGGAACCGGATTTCTGTGAGCAAATAATAAATCTCCACTTATGTGTTTAGTGTGGCACATATCAGGTTAATCTGAAAATGATTTAGTGAATTCCTCCATCTACCTTATGCTTTAAATAGCCATAAATATATATTTTTTAAATTTTTATCTGACCAACAGGCCAAGAAAGGAATTAGACAAGTAACTTTGCTTATGAACAAAGATAAACCATCTGCTCCATAATGATCATTTCTCCTGATTGTTTTTCGGTTATACGTTAAAAAGACTACATACAAGTTAAGACCTCTGTGGCCCTTGTTTGGAGACATGTATTAGACACAGTCTCCATTGAATCCTCAAAGCAAAAGAGGTTGTGGTTGTCCTGCACCCCTCCCCAGAGGGACAATCAACACTAGAAATATGAACCATATGAGCCTAGCGTTGTGGTACAAGCAGTGAGATTCTGTTGTTACTGTAGCAAAGAAGCTTTTCTTGACTAAATGTAGCCACAACTTTTATGGGTTTTGTTCAGTACTTGCATGAGATGAGCACATGAGCTGGTATTTCTAAAGCCCTTTTCCACTCTTAGTGAGCACTCAAACCAATTCTACTACAAGCCACGTTTACAGTCATGTAATGCTTTATTCTGCACACAATAAGCACTTTTTGAATCAATCCCACTCTGGCAAGAACCTCAAGTTTCCCTTGATACATCCATCAAAGGAAGCTTCGATGTTTTGACTGCAGGAGCCAGAAATCAATTAGTGGATGACCCGCTCTACTTCCAGAGCTGCTGTAGATATGCTGATCGTGTGTGTGTCTGTTAACAAAGCCCTAATTGTTGTGAAACTGCATTATTAGAACCTTTATTTTACCAGGATGTCTTCTACAAGAGAGACCTGACCCAGGCAGTAACTTTACAGGTTTTCCCTCTTTCACACATCTTTAACTGAACTTGCTAACTTAACAAATCTGCTCTTGAGGGAGGCACTCAGGTGAAAGCTGTAAATCTTCAGCAGCCAGGCGGCGCCTGAGTCGGAGCTTTGTCCGACCTTGTTACGTCCGCTCTCAG